CTTACGAGCGTCCTTCTACTCCACCATCTTGCCTCCTCTCTCATAAGATGGTATTTTTAACAATGTTTATTGACTCTGCTAATCTCATTTCATCATTTTGTTACAGATTGATGTTCTCAAAGCAGATCTGGAAAGTGCAGAATGGAAAGTTTTGGAAAATCTTATTCTGGAAGATGTCCTTGAACAAATTGGACAGCTCATCTTTGAGATCCATCTCCACTGGCCCGGCTTTGAGGTCAGTGGCAGTGACAGCAGTGTTGTGCGGTTCTGGTACAGCCTCCTCAAAGAGTTAGAACTACAGGATTTCAGGCTTTTTCACAGTTACAAAGATTTATCTAAGCCTCAGCTGTTCCTGAAGAAAGATATTTTCAATGCAAGTAGCTGTTATACTCTGAGTTGGGTGAATACGAGATGGAAATAGGATGCAGGCCCTCATCAAGAACTCAAGAAAATATTTGCAGCATGGAGCATGACTATGATTCTAATACACCTCCAGGCTCCCACTAGCCTGTGACCTGCTTGAGGCAGAGATTGTGTTATTGCCTTTGTAGTACGTGTAGCCTGGTGCCTGGCACGTGGTAGGGACATACTTGATTAACACTTGTCGAGGGAATGGACACAGGAGTCAATCTCCTTCTGCCCAGACCCAGGCTCTTTGCCCGTTTGCCTCTGACAAAGAGGGGATTATTGTTCTCCTTCATTTTAACCTGGAAGATAATCCCCCACTTATCTCAGTTTTCCCTAAAATTTGTTGTGTCTATAATCCATGAATTCACCACCATGAAAAAAATTACATAACATTTCCATTTTTATTCCTTAAATTTGTAGCCTACCATTTAAAATAGGACCTTTTATTTGATGTTAACTCACCTCTTTCAAGGTTTTTCTGGTTCACCGTGTCATTAACATTCTTTATAACTTTGTAGATTTCGGTCTCTACTCCCAAGCCTTTCCTGAGGCCATCCATGCTGTGGCTTTTTAAGAACCACTGATTTTGGTTTCTGGACACACCAAATTCTGTCACTAATCTTGAAAGACTAGACTACCAAGATCTTCAGCTCAGGATTCTTTTCATACTCAGCCTTAAATCCCTTTCTGTTCCTATGAAACTAAGCACAAAGCAGAACTTGGGGGACTTCAAGCCTGATTTCTCAACCATAGACTTGCCTTTGCTGTCATTTAAAAAAAAATACATTATCTCTAAGATTAAGTGAGTTTTTCTTTGCTGATAGTTGGCATTTGTTGTAAGCCTGTGGCCTGAGGGCCAGAATCTCTCACTTTCCTGGGATGGTTATACTGTGTTTCATGGGTACCAATTCTTTTTACATTTTTTAAAAATTAAACAGAAAATGAAGGTTCTCAATAGTTCAAATGGTCTCTATCATTTCTGTTTTCAGGATTAGACATTTACCACTACACATGAGTTTTAAAAATTATATTTAAAATAAATTAAATATTATAAAAAGTAAACCAAATTATTACCTTACTATAAACTAAGTATATTTTCTGGCATTTTTTACATGCTGGGAGAGCAGGAAAACTATACATACATTATATGTTCGAGAAATCTGGGGAGAGAACTCGTTAGTTCTAATTACTGCTAGACTTGATTCCTTTTCCCAATGCTTTCCCTCCTTTTACCCCAGACATTTCCTGGGTTGGCTTTTTGTTTCTTGCAGTGGTTTGAAAATAGCTTTCCTCAGGTGAGAAACCAAAATATATTAACGTTAGATGATCTTACTAACTTGGGTTTAAAAGGGAACAAGACTTGGGTGATGACTTTTAAAAATATAAATGAGATTTTTATATTAAAGTTTATAGTACACTAATAAAAGTCAGTGAGTTGGAGGACCAGTTTGAGTAACTGTGATGTGAAATAGTAGTTTAGCTGCTTTCAGTGTCCCTAGGTATTTCAAAAGTACAAGAAGTCCATAAAACTCTAAAGTGGTTTATACTGTTAGCTTGCATGCTGTAGCCTCCAAAACAAAGTTAACTTTAGTCCTATTCCTGTTCGGATTATATTACAGATTGTCTTTCATTTTTTAACAACAATTTTATACACTAAAGTATACATATTAAACCATTTTATACATTAAACCTTTAAACCTTCTTATACACCAAAGTATGAAGTGTACTAATCCTAAGGGTCTAGTCTGATCAGGTTTTAGATATGTTAACATTCATACCAAGATTTTTAATTCATAGGATTAAAGATTAATAGCATTACTGAAAGCCCCCTTTGTACAGGGCAAGTTACCATTTATTCCAGATTGGTGGTGCAGAACATTGACTTCATCACACTATATATATATCTGAAGCAAGAATGGGTGTACTGTTAAGGAAAAAAAAGAAGACAAACTCAAAATAAATCACAAACACACCCACCCACACCCACCTACTAGGCAGCCTGTTCAATAGTTATTTGTACTTATTTTATGTTTTTTCCTAAGACTGTCCTTCATTCCCTTCATGGATGGTTTGAAATTTGTGTTGAATATTCTGACTGTTGCTATGGTTTCCTTGCCTCTAGAATTATTGTGCTTTTTGTGTGGGCCAGGGTTTCTTAACCTCAGCACTATTTCCGTTTTGAGCTGGGTAATTCTTTGCCAGGGGAGGGAGGGCCATTCTGCGTGTTACAGGATGTTTAGCGGCATCCCTGGACCTCCCCACTAGATGCCAGGAGCGCCTTCCCTTCTTCCCCTCAATGTGACAGCCAGATGGGTCTCCAGACAGTGGTAAAGTCCCCACGAGAGCAAAATCACCCACTGCGGAGAACTACTGGTGGAGGCCATGAGGATGGTCTAGACTGTCACAGCTCTGCTGTTTGGGGAGACCCTGCTCATGAAGAGCAGGCAAAACCACCACTATTGCCACCATAAACCACCACAAAAGCAATATAAAAGGAATACAAAAAACGAACAAAATCAAGAGCTGCTGTTTATTGAGAGCTTACTATATGCCTAGTACTGTGTATAGATTATTCCTAATTATCCTGACCCATAAGGAGACATAATTTTACTGATTATACAGGTAAGGAAATTCTAAGAGCCTAAATAGCTTATTCAGATTATTCAAATAGTAAATGGTGGAACAGGAATCTACATACCAGCCTGTCAGATCCCAAAGCCCATGTCGGTCCCCTCCACAGTGCTGCTTCAATAGTCTCTGACAAATGTAAGGACATATTTTTGCTTCCTTATTAGTAAATGGGAAGGAAAACCTACAAATGTATTAAGACCAGACCTGCAAATTTGTTGGAGTTGAGATCATTTTTGTAGCACGCAAGTTTAATTTAAACAATCTACTTAATTAAAATATGGCCACCAAACAGAGGCTTACTGAAAAAAAAGTGTGAGGACCCAACAACTTCTTTCAATATATTCAGGTTGCCAGAAAAGATCTTGCAAGGCCTGGAAGTGACGCTTGGCCCTGGCTGGTCCCAATACGTGGCACTTTGCTCCTGGATTTTAGAAATGGCCCAGTTACTCAGAAGTGCAGTGTGAGTTTCCTTGTTTCAAACTTGCCTTTGACCTGTAGGTATATGAACTCAGAAGTGAGTATCTATGACGTATGTATCTTAATTAACTCCTACCAGATCAGTGCTTATAAATGAATCTGAAAATACAAATTTAATAATGCTCTTATCAAATGATTAAAAAAGCTGTTCTTTTTTAGATGAAAGACATGATATATGAAAGACAGGATGTAAGAGATTCAGAGGTCAACCTTTTAGCACAAAATCTATGTCACAATTTGAGATTAAACTCAAAGGAAAACAATTTTCCCTTTCTCTCTTAGTGATTGTATTTGATGCAGTTATAGTAGGTTATTGTATAAATATCTGTAACTATTTGACATGTTCAAATGATGTGAGGCAGGAAGAAGTAAACAAACTTCTGTTAGAATTGGTCCACTAGTAGTTACATCATGGTAGAACAAAAGTAAATTCATGAATTTACAGTGTTCACTCCAAATCAGTTATTCATGTAAACTTTTCTGCTTTGGCTGTAAGATTTAGTATACGGTAAATACAGTACAAGGTTTGCATTTCATAAGTATTACATGTTTGAATTTTGCAAAGCTTGGATTAATGCCAGGGAAGCAGTCTCATCATCATATTTCTCCAGATGAAAAATGAAAGCCTCATTTAAACAGATTATTATACTTGACAATACAATGGTACGTACAAGCTCAATTATGTAATATGATTCTCTTCTTTTGGAGATAAATTTATGTTTGCCTTTTAAGCAATAGCATTAATTCTTTTTGTACTAACCAATTGCTAGTTCTTTGTGAATTCAGTACATTTACTCTTATTCTAAAATGTCTTCCTTTTTCTTACATTTAAAGGTATGTTTGAACTTATCACATGAAACCATAACACAAAGATTCAAGATATCATTAAATCACCTAAATTTAGAAATTACTGAAATTCTTTAACTTTATTGTATTTCTGTCCTTAAGAAAAATAAATCAAGCAAGTTTAATGTTGTCACACTTTATATTTAGCACTGTATGGAGAAGTGCTAGTTCTCAACTCATTAAAACTCATGCTTTGTGAGTGATTTCATACTCTCATGTAAGATATTTTAAGTTTTTCTTAATGATTGGTTTTGTGTGATAAGATTGTCTGAAATAATAAGGGGTATTTTTTCTTGCCAAGTTTGAATTCTAATCTAATCTATTTCAGTAGAGAAGCCCAGTATACATGGGACAGATACATAGTCAGTAAGTTCCAGGGAGCTAGGTTGGTAAATGGCTGAGGTCCTGAGTCCCTCAGTGGTTCTCCTCCACTGCAGCCCCTCCCGCAGGATCCCCAGATCTCCACAAGATCAAACAGTTAATGTACAGCAAAATAGGCAGCCTCCAGGACCCTGCCCCAGCACTGTGGTTAACATCTGTTCTAACTGCTCTATGTCCTGCGTTACTAGTCATTGGATATTTTGATATCACTCCTAGGTGAGTATATATAATAACCAAAAGTCCAAATGGATTCTATAACATTAATGAAAAACCACATTATGTATCAATAAAAATAAGCTATTAATTATCTGTACAAGAAAATATTATTTCTCAAGGATTGATGACACATCAAACATCGTTTCCTTAGGGACCCCCTTATTGAAGACCCCCAGCTATGTCTCCCTACAATGCCCTCTATTCTCCCCAGTTTTAGACTCCTTTTACTTTAGTGTATTTGCTGTGTAATGGCTTTCCCAACAGACTGGAAGCTCCATGCGGGTAAGGGCCATGTCTGTAGTCCCAGTGCCTGTCACGGAGCCCACTAGGTAAAAGGTGCTCCATAAATATTTGTTGAATATGAATATAAAGAAAGCTATTTCACATAGGAATTGTCAGTGAAATTATTTCATCATCATTTGTTATTGAAGGTTTTTTTTCTGGCATTAAAAATATCTTTGGAATTTAGATGGACCACTATCTCTAATTTTGGCTTATTTAATTTTAGGCACAATTTGTCTTTTTCTTGACATGATTATTTATTGCACTGCTTGTTGCAAAACTTCCTAATTAAAGGATGCTAACCTAAAGAGCTATTTTGACCTTAGGGGCTTGAGAACTATATAAAAATTGAATTGAATAAATACAATAATAATTAAAAGCTGAATTATTATTAGAAGTTATCCTAGGTTATTAGACCTCAATCTCCTTTTCTTATTCCTCATTGTCCTTTTTTTTAAAAATCCAATTCCCAGAAAACACGCCTCTTAGAGTGAGTGTATTAGACCACAATTCACAGTAGCATGGAGAATATTTTTCAGTTTATGAGAGGAAGAAGGTATGATGAAGTGAGGGTACTTCTGCCAAGGATAGGGGCTGGTATTCTACAAAATGATTACAACTACATTGTTCTTCCAGGACAAAATAATCAAGGTAATTGTTCAAAGAGTAAAAACAAGGTGAGAGAGGGTACTGTGTTTTCCAGGCTATTTGACTGAAGTATGACCAAGAAAAGCCCTTTTTCGCACAGTTATGAGAAAGTGATGGGGAGCTAACTCTATGGAAGTGGCCTTGAGAATGTCTTTAGCTGCAGGTTCTCTTTGCTACTAAGGGATGAAATAAACATAATCTTTTAAGCTACCTCAGAGAGAGGAAGCTGGTAGCCACAAAGATTACAACACAAATATGACAGTTTTAAAAATACACAAGTAAGTGGCATTATTTAGAGAAGGCAGGATAGCAGGATGAAGGGAGACAGACTCTGATACTGCTGCTAACTAGCTGTGTGGTACCAGCAAGTCATCTTTATTGGCCTGTTTTCCTAAATTGGAATATTTGATTTCTAAGATTTCTTCTAAGCTTGAAAATCTCATTATTCTAAGATTTTTGTGATTAGAGAAGGCTTAGATGGTGGTTAGATGATTTCTTTATTTATGTGCTATAAAGGAGGTCTTAGGATAAATTCAGAAGGATCTAAATGATATGCCTATTCAGAAGAAAAGGCCCAGGTAAAAGATGAATCCATTATGATGACTCCAGTCATCAAGTGAAGTGCCCTTAGGGAAAGTACCTTTTTGGATAGCACACTTAAATTCACAAGTTTCTACAAGTCAGAATGTTTCAGACTGCACTTGTTTACCCTCCTGCTTCTAGACTGTCCTAACAAAGTGGCAATATCCCAAGATACTAGGTTAAGTGTTTATATTTATGGTGATCCTTCTGTATGTGTATGTGAGTATGTATGTATGCATTTATGTATATATGTATGTATGTGTGTATGTGTGTATATATAGAGAGAGGTAGAGCAGGAACCTACACCGTAGTGGTCCTAGGAATTCAGTATGCCATTGATGGTTAGAGGCCGAGAGCACTAGAGGTAAGGCCTGTTGCGTTGGAGGAAAGGACTGGGACTGAGATACCTGCGGCAGTGGTACCTTCCGAGGGCTACAACCTCAGTGGAAGAGGTTTCTAAAAAATCTGCCCCCTCTCCATAACCCTGCCCCTGGAGCACAAGAAAGTCTATCCTTGCTGTTGATTTGAGGAAAAAGTTTCTTATGAGAATCTGAGATCTCCAGTCTGTTTATGGGGTTGAATTTACAATCACCTAGTGAGGAAAACCATAAATTGAGAGGATGAAAAACCAGTTCTAGGGAGTGATAACTTCAGGGGTACATGGCAGAAGCAAATGTAAAACCACTCCAAGGACTCTTCAGCTTGGGCTTTCCTCCAAAAAACAAGACCCATGTAAGATGAACTCCTAATAAAAAATTACAACTGACAAGGAAATGGCTCACCATAAGGCAGAGTTTACAGACATAATAAACACTGGGATTCTCAGCTCCAGAACTTGAGCTATGAGAGTTATAGTCTTAAAGAAAGTGTAATATAAATTGTTTAAATTGATTAAAGGCACAAAAGACTAAATAGAAACCATAATAAAATAAGACATATGAAGAGCAGGCAGATATAAAAAAGTACAAATAGACCTACCATAAAGGAAAAATAGTCATTGGAATGAGTAATGGATTAATCAGCAGATTCGACACAGCTGAAGAGACTGTAAAGCGAACTGGAAGATAAACCAGTTGGGAGGAAACTACCTAAAATGCAGCACAGAAAACTATGAACATATATATTTTTAAATGTGATATCTTGTAAGTAGTTTAAACCTTAAAACGCCTTCCAGAAGATGAAGCAGTTGAAGCTGGATATCTGAGCCATTGTGCCTAAAAGGTGGTACTAGAACCATACGGCAGCCATATGTTGTTTCTGAGCACATAGCATGTTGCTGGTGTGACTGAGGAGCTGAATTTTAAATTATGTTTACTTTTAATTAGTTTAAAAACTTATACTTGATTCAATTATTAGAAAACCCTTAGCTCTGTTTGGAACAACTTGGACATGTAAATCTACTTTGTATGAAACAGATAAAATATTTGATGAAAATTTAGTGTCTGAATTAAGATGTGCTTTTAAGTGTAAAATATACACCAAATTTCAAAGACATAGTATGAGAAAAGTAAAATGTTAATTTTAAAAATAACAACTGAATGTTGAAATAATATTTTGGATTTATCATATAAATGTATTATTAAAATTAATATCCCTTTATTAATGTGACCATTAGAAAATTAAAATTTACATATATGGCTCACACGTTTCTATTAAACAGCACTAAACTAGAACGCACACTTAAATGCAAAATGTTTGAGATTTGAGTTAGTCTCTCAGATCTCAAGTGCTGATGGTTGGAGAGTAGGGTGAGGGGAGCTAAAAATTCATCTGAAGACAGTTATTGCAATGATAGGAAGCTGTACAAGCAAAGGAGTGACACTTTTGTCACTAAAAATAAAGCCGCTCTAAGGACTCTGGCTGCAAGTTGTGGCTTCTTTTCCCTTAAATTCCAGATAAAGTTGCAGTGATTAGGTTAAGAAAATTGTTTCTACAATTATTAAAGTGACTATGAACATGGGAGGTGTATATATAAATATATAAAGTGTGAAATATCATATACATACATACATACAAACGTATACACAT